TAGTACATATGTGCAGAACTGTTGCAACATATTTATTATTTAGTCCAAACACAGCTTTACTGGATGAGAATATATACACAACATTTTGGAAAACCTTTAACGAAAGAAAATGTAAATTTTACAATAAACATTAGAAATATGATCTTACCGAGTGAACCAAAGAAATCATTTCCAAGGAATGGAAATCCAGGTCTGTTTGCAAGCACCAACATTCTAAAGTCAGGATGAGTAACTATGACATTGTCACTAGACATCTGTCCTACACGACCTGAAATAGGTTATGTTTGTTTAATAAACATTAATTATCACAGGTATGAGTGGGTCGCTAGGGACACTGGAGAGAATTTGGTGGTAAGTGATGAGATATCTATGGAGATTGGGTTACATAACAGCGGTAGTTGTGATTGGGTACATGGTTTGGTAAGTAGACTGGGTATAAATTAGGTGGGTGATACAGGTTCATGTGGTTGGGTGAAATGGATTTATGTGTGATGGGTTCATGGGATGGGCAAGATGGGTTCATATGAGATAGTTCTTGATTGTGTATATTTGTGGTGGGTGCGATTGGGTACAGATTCCAGAGATTCATCTACTATATGAATTTAAAATTCAAAACAACCCACTGCTTCAGTCCTGTGACACCACTACAGTGAAAAACTTGGAAGTGAGTTACTAAAGATATTTATACAAATGAATCATTACATTACATTACCTGTAACAATCCTTCTACCATCTGCTAATATCATTTCACCGCTCTCTACCAATGTTTTCAAGATACATGTGACATTAGTTGGTGCTTTGTCAGCCTCATCCACAACCAATACATGCCCTAATTTAACAGCCTTTACCTGCAATATACAAAATATTTATATTACTATGATACAAGACACTTCGCGATGAGCATCTTTTGCGGTCAGTAATATTTCCAAAATTTTTTGTTTACTATTGGTGATCCGCTCCCCTAGGATTACCCTTAAAATCACTTTTGTGTGTCTGTGTGGGTGATTTCTAGTGTTTTCACGTATTAATTCTTCTGTGATTATTTTGGCATGGCCAATTTTGCTCAAACTTGACAGGTAGTTCACACCTTCACCCTAGTTATTAGGAAAATCTGAAAAAAATATTCTGGCCCAACATTTCCATGGCAACAGCCAAAAAAATGATTTTTTTTAATACCTTCGCGCCAAATGCATCTCACCCTACATTTCTACGATTAAGTAGCTTATTCTACTCAGTCTGAGTGTGGGCATAAATTCACTGGGTTTTTTATGTCTATTTTCATTACCGAGAAACTTGACCTCAAAGTTGGGGTAACTTTTTACCAGCAACGGTTTTTAACTGCTCTGAGGTTTTTTTTTTCTTTGCATTGGCTAATTTTCTTCATACTTGATAGGCAGGTCGTACCGTCACTAATTGAAAAATAAAATCTAGGCTCACCGCTGCCATGGCAACAGCCAAAAACTGATTTTTGAATACTTTCGGCCAAAATTTATTACCTCCTACCAGTCTTG